ACCCAAAAGTACATGGCCGAAACTATGTGTGTGTGTGGGGGGGGGGGTGTGAGGACGATGTGCCATCTAATTAAGTGGGTGCCTAATAATTTAGTTATTTATTTTAAAACTGTAAGTAGGCGTTTAATTAGTTCCAACTCGATAGCCGGAGGCCAATTAAAGCAAGGATATTTTTTCCCTCAAAAAAAGAGAAACAGGGATATTTTCAGTTACCCAACGATTGCTGGCACCGTACCTGAGCAAACAAACAATCAAATAATGCACCCGTCTTGTCACGTTGAGTGAATTGCTGAAGAACACAAAGCCAATTCCACACGTGAGCAATCTCAACCTATGTAGAGTATGAAGAAAAAATATCTCATGTAGTACTAGCTACATGTGGAATCAACAATGTACGTATACAACACATGTGGAATCAACAATGTGCGTATACGTACGTACATAGTATACATAACATGGTGGGGGCAAGCAGAGTAAGCTATCTTGGATCGACAGGTCCACTCCAGCCATCCAGACTACTCCATCCATAAACTAATATAAAAGCGTTTAGATCATTATTTTAATGATTTAAACGTTTTTATATTAATTTATAGGGAGTACTTCTGGCCGGGTCCGGGTCCAGGTCCAACGGCTGCGATCTACGGAACCAACGACCTTCATGCGACGTGGGCGGCGGGCGCGACGCCAACGAGCCGTCCCCTACCCCTAGCCAGCCACCACCGTACTACAGTAGTTCACCTTGAGGCATTTGGTTGATTATTACTTACTGGAAATCAGTACACTGGTCACTAGCAAAGCTAGCGAGCGCTGAGATCACGAGCTACCTGTTGGTGGTCACTCACGGCTCACGAGCAGTGGCAGTAAATTAGTAACCGGTGCACACCCCGCAAAAAAAAAAAAAAAGCTGCCGCCTTGAAGTTTTAAACTGTCCGGAAGCAGGGTTAACCCTGATCTGCTGAGATTAACAATGTGCAGGGCTACAGGATGATGATTCGATCGATGGTCTCATCATGCATCGTTGGGAAGGTGTCGGGTGACCTAAGC